TATGAGGCTGCGAATCACGCCCAGGGCCTGCATTCTTTGGAAAGGCCCGGTAGGCCGTGGAAATGTCTTCGGTACTCGGCCTGTGTTTCTTTCAACCAACTGGCGCGTCGCAACTGCCTGGACCCCAAATATGAAATTGACAGTCGAGGGCCTCTTGCAAAAATCCAGGCCCGCCTTCACTTAGGGCGGGCACCTCCGCCTTCACTTAGGGCGGGTAAGGCTGCAGACAGGGGGCCTACCGAGGACACTGATCCTCGCATAAGAGTGAATACATATTATGCACCCAGTTAGGCTGTTGTCCGTTATGATCCTGGGTATCTTGCAGTGCAATAACAGTAAGGAAGACAATGCCATTCAATTGCAACTGAAATGAAAGAACTTGGAAAGAGAAATAGACAACGGAAGAAGAAGAATAAAGAATGGAAGAAGAAGACCGTTATGAGCCAGTTTTTCTAAGATGTACAACAGCAAAGACCAATGTCAAATCCCCCTTCAACTCCCCATCACGTTTAACCTCCTTATCTCCCCCAACCTCTTCAATACAATAAATAATAATAGAAATAACTACGTCCAGGTCATGGTTCGAATTTCGTATCTGCAGCAAAAACAGGTGACAGCAACTTCGGGCGGAGGCAGTTTGAAAAAGTAGAAATAGAATACAAATAGCAGTAGACCGTTCTTGTTGTGCGTGTTCTCGGGCCCTCAGCGGACCACGCCCCACGAATGTAGTTATGACATCCACACTGTCTACATATGCGTTCCGCTGGGACATGTTATTTGTGCATATTTGACAGCTGCTTTTCGTTCGCTGCACAGTTGGTTCATAATAATAATAACAATGAAAGAATGAACGAGAACCAGAGTCCGAGTCCCCTCCTTACTGCCAGCAACACATGAGGTCCACCATAGCCAAGACCTAAACCTTCTACTTCTTCTTCCTAGTAGGTGGCTATGGCGGACTAGTGGGCCTTTGCCCCGATGTTCAAAGGACAACGCAAAGCTGATATGTCCCCCCTACTATGGCCGCTATGCCTAACTCTGCCCTGAAGTCTACCTTGAAGCAGTGCACCCCCACTGGGGCCTTCCAGGTGCAGGGCCAACCAAGAAGATGATGATGCCGTCCACCATAGCCAGGCAAGTGCAATGACTTGCTGATTTCAACTGCCAAGACTAACTGCGAGGCTGTACAGTAACAGTGGTAGGGTAGGTTGATAATTTTGTTTGGCTGAGGGCTAACCGAGAGACCTACCTGTAAGGAATATTCGTGAGGGACATATCTGCAAATTTGGGAAAATACAGGCCCAGCACTAATTTGAAATTCCTACAGCTGACCCTAACTGCGGATAGCAGACCCGGGCTACCCCTAGGACGGACAGGCCCTGAGGGCCTATACCGATAGACGGTCCTATAGCCTATAGC